CTGCAACCAAACTCTCGAAAATCATTAGCCACCTCTAATTTCAAATTAAAGTGATTTTTTACACGCAAGTTGACGAGTGTCGTGGTTCATAATGCTCCGTTATAAGGGGTTGTCTTCAAAACACAACCATCATAAAATCTTTTCTTTGTTGCATTGCTAAGAAATGTCCCATTATACTAACAGAATTCCCAAAACGATCCTCCCATCAAAATCCAAGCTTGTCACCTTCCAGCACTACTCTTATAATCAATGCTCAAAGAAACAAAGTGATGAGCTCAAATTTACTCTACTTGGGACAAAATTGTCGATGTCAAAATTAGATCACCATCCAATCTTTATTAGATTAAAGAGATACAGTAGTTTAATTAGTAGAGTTTATCATAACCGCTTTGATCAAACAAATGCCTAAACTAATTACTCAATAAGGATCACCCCATCTAACCACAGACTCAGGTAGCCGAAATAAAAGACAGACAATGCAGCAGATATAATCATACATCCTTTCCGTAATATTCCTATGCCATGGCCAAGAATCCATAGTTGCCTGCAGTTGAGAACGCTAATCCCGCACTGCAATCAATCTGGTTTGCTCTGTGAATGCAAATTTTGGCGGCCTGCCAGTTGGGACTTACCGAAACCAGCTACTAGAACAAGCCTTCGTCAATGGTCAGCAAGCCTGGCCATTTATCTCTCTTATTCTCTCTAGCTAGAATACTCGAGAGTAATGGGTACACAGAAAACTCTTGACACATAAGATATACACCAAAGCCAACCAGGTACACATTATAGTACCTAGCCGTCTGTTGTTGAGGCGAACGAGAGGTACCTTAAGAAATGTACTGAACTAAACTCTCGCCTCCAGCAAAAATCTGGGTTTATATAACATTGCGAATATCCCGAGTAAATTTAAATTGTAATCAGAATTTTTTTGCAACCCCCGCTACTTTAAGCACCAATCTAGTGACACAATCGAAAAGCATGACAGTTAAACAATCTCATGGAATATTTCATACTGTATTAATCCTTTACCTCATTACTATTACTGGATTCCAGTATTTCACTACACCAGCAGTACCAAATCAACTACAGTTAAAAGATAACCATACCCAACAAGAACAGCGACCAGCCATCATTGCACGCTTAGCATGCATGGCCTTCACATTATTCGCGGTCTCTAGCAGTCCTATGGAATTAGTTCAGTATCTCAGAGTTGTAATCTTATTATAACCTTTCTAGATGAGAATGGGTTCCAATAAGAGCCAAGTCCTCTCCCAAATCTATCCAACCAATTGGCCCTCTATCTGTCCTACGAGTCAGAATCAAGCAACCACAACCTCAATCTCTAGTACTTACCAACAGTCCCATAATACACCCTGTCTGCCTACACCCCTCGGAAGTCCCTCCTGACATGTAAGAGCACAGCTGTATAGCCTGTAATGAGGTGAGCTTTAAAAAAATAGTAACAGGCACAAAACTAATTGGGTGATAAGCATCTAACATTAGAACATGGGATGTGAAATCTATTCCCAAAGATTTACTACTGCATACTGTATAACATTGGAGTTTATAAAACGGAATATAAAGGAATTAATCCAACAAATGGTGCCATATAAAAGCATATAAGAAATGAAAATCATCCACAATGCCAAAGCAATTTTAGATATCAAAGATAGCCTATTCTTATATCAGCATTAAGGCAGCTGCAAAATGTTATACAAGGAGCAAGGCAGGTTCTGAAACGGCTAAACCAGAAATTCACAGCTAATAAATACACATTAAAAAACAAAAAAAAAAAAAAAAAACAATTCAGAAGGTGGTAAAATCCAGGAAAGTAAAAGAAGATGGCACCAAGACTCCACACAAAAGCCAACATGCTTCAGCTCATGTTGATAGATCCCAATACCAGCTATGCAATTTCTACACAGCAAAATACACAAGCGAAGAGTAAATTTCCTTGTTCTTGAGATAACAATCTGACACATTAGTAACAATAACAGCATGTCAGAAACATAGAGCCTAAAGGCAGAAGATAATGGCAATAAGCAAACTCTAATAAAGAACACGTTTTTTTCTTCTTCTTCTTTAGTTGAGACTCTCGAGTATACAAGCAACCATCATATAGACGTCAAGTCAGATTTTTGTACCTGCTACTGAATAATCACACCATATCCCAGTATCAGCTCAGGGTCTTCAGGCTGCCGCTGCACAATAAACAACATTAGCACACAAAAGTGAATGGTTATACTAAAGAATAATGGCAAGAACACTGAATTGTCATTGAAATTAAACATTTTCCAGGGGAAAGGCAGGGAACATAAACATACCCTGATGGTTGGGTGGGAGATAAGCTAATTGGTCTTACTACATACCGCCAAAAATATAAGGGCAGGTTGAAATGGATCCTAATTTCCATGATGAAAACCTAGGTAACCTTTTATAAAAATAAAAAAAAAAATAGTTAAAAAAAAAATAAAATAAAATAAAAATAAAAAAAAAAAACTAGCAAAACTTCTATCAATTTTTGTGTCCAAACCCTAAAACAGGATAGCTTGGGGGAATGTGGAAAATCAGCCCCAAAACTTATGTTTCATGTACAAATCAGCCCCCAACTTTTAATTACAGCAATTCAGCTCCGCAACTCTATTTACAGAGTAATCAACTCCATTCACTAATTTGCAGGCAAACTTTCATCGAAACAAGAGCATTATACAATCCAAAACATAGAGACAATAAAATCGTATATATGTGCCAAAATCCGCCCAAATTAATCACTTTATATCCTTTTCCTTTTGCTGCAGCCTGCAAGATCTATTCTGCAGAGTAGGATTATACATTTTGTCTTCTAGCAGCAGACAGCAGTACAGCATTTGGGAGATGGAAATTTGGTTTTAGCAGAAAGTTAAAGTTCATACAGTGGGAATCATAGTTCGTTTTCTGCAACTTTACATCTAAAACTAAATAAAAGTGGAAGAGGGAGGCAAATGAAAGAAATTTCATCTTACAGCTGTTATTTACAAGAATTGAGAGGTAAATAGGAGATGGTGAATTGAGAGAATCCACTGAGGTTACGAGGCACTGTTGTGTGAAAGAAGACCTAAAGCCAAATGCAAATGAATAACAAAAAATGATATGCGTGTATTTAGTGGGGTAATATAATCATGTCTGTTTTTGGCATGATTATGCTTACGGTGGAATTTTGCCAGAAATTAACAAACTGAAGTTTTAATTGCACATTGTGCAATAGTTGCAGGGGCTGATTTGCCCCTTTTCCTACTACTAGGGAAGTAGGGAAAACCGTACCTTAACAAGGATCCACAAAACTAATAAGAAATTGGATACGCTACAACTTCAAGCAAGTTTAAAAACTGTGGTACAGCTAGGGGTGCTAATCGAGTTGAGCAGCTCGTGAGCAAAGCTCGGTCAAAACTCGACTTGAGTTGGTTCGACTCGAATTCGACTCGACTCGAGATGTTAACAAGCACGAGTTGAGCAAGCTTTAACTCGACTCAATAAGCTCATGAGCAACTCGATAATATATTTTATTAATATAAAATTTACAAATAAAGTTATTACCATAAACAAATTTGACACTTAATAAGAGTTAATTTATATTGTAAAAAAGAAAGAGTAACTTTAATATTAAATAGAATAATTAAACGAAAACTATATAAAGTGAAAAAATCAATAAAGGCCTATAATTTTAGAAGGGCCGAAATTCTAACGAGTAGATTGTGAGCTACTCAACTCAACTCGAAACTTTAACGAGTACGAGCAGGTTTTATTGGCTCGAAACTTTAACTAGCACGAGTTGAGCACATGAAAAAAGTTTTCGAATCGAGTCGAGCACCCCTTAGCTCGTGGTCGACTCGCTCGATTAGCACTCCTAGGTGCAGCAATACACAAAATAAGAATAAGCATTTCATTTTCATTGTGGAGCTTAAATATTGTAAGAGGTGATATTTCTCAGGGACCAAGGCTACATTAATTATCACAGTTTCATGGGCAATATATCCAAGTAGTTGTACATCTTCAAGCTCTTTAAATACTATGCCAAGGGAAATCAAATAAATTTCAACTCCTTGTCAAAGTGATGCTTTTGTTATTCTGTAAGAATCCAAAGCATCAATTCTACAATCCTCATTTAAAGTTACAGTGTAAAAACCAACAATGAAGCATCTCAAAAACAAAGCGTCTCAATTGCAAAGAAAATTCCAGCTGCAGTCCTTAAATTGACAACTCTAAATATTAAGAGAAAGTCCAGCCCACTTAATGCCCTCCAATGACTCATTTATGACACTGTGAAACATACTCTTAGTTTTGAAGGGCGCACCAAGGAGCAAAAGTCTTTGAAGCCTAGGCGCAAGGCAAAGGAGCGCGCCTTTCGTAGGTGAGGAGCACTTCATATACACCAGAAAATATATTGATTTCTATCAAATACATCTAAAAAAGGAATTCTGAGAAAAGATGAAAGGTCTCTGTGATCAATAGCTAGGCCTCTTCTTATAGAATTGTGAGATATGGGGTTTCTATCACCTCTAGAATTTAAGTAAACCTGACTGTCACAAACTTCCCTGGATTTTTTTAAAAATATTATCTTAAGCATTACCTATTGATGCCTTACAACATAAGGTGCAAAGGCACAAGAAGCAACCTAGAAAAAAAAACGCATAGGCACATGATTTTTGTAGGTCTTTGAGCCTTGTGCCTTGCGCCTAGGTGCGCTTTTTATAACTTAAAACATATTAAACACATACATTACACAAAGTCGGAAAGGTCTACTGTGGGCATAAATCCAAGGGACAGACATGGCTACTAAAGTATTGTCACCTTTTTTTGGAGTGTTGTACCGCATACTCCAATCTCCACAGGGTAACATAATTTTTGAGATAAAAATCAGTTACAAAGAAATTAATATAATATTCACATTCACCCAAGGGTCTTGAAAAATTAATGACCTAGTGACACCTTTTAAGATTCAAATGATGAAACCCTAGTAGAGCACAACTACAAAAGATGATTGGGCCCAACCACCTATTTAAGACTTTATAGACACATACGTAAAATATAAAATAAGGGTAATCGCAACTTATCAAATACCCAAGCATATGACATACTTCCTTCGTTCTTAATTAATTGCAACAAAGCAATTTTGGGAAGTTTCACAATTGCTGCAACAATTCTATTTTAGAATGAGTTCACATTATAAGCTACAAGTTTACACTTGCCCAAGCCACTTATTTACCTATATATCTCTCTCTTCTATATATAATCACATAGGGTCAATTAGTCGAAATTTCTCCCTTTTGCTTTTTCTTCAAACTTGGGCTAGTTCATCCACTTGCTATTGTTGCAAGAATATAAGAAGGAAAGAAGTAGATTAAATCACAATGCCATACTAATAGTTGAATTAATCTGCACAGAGAAGTGATTCATATTCGTTAGCAGATTCTCCTTGTCCAGACTAGATGCCATCTTGGCAATACTTTAGAACCTTGATTCCTTCAAGATCTTCCTACAGAGTTAAAGAAGATTATTCATGAAGATTTTGTGGGAGTGACTTTGCCACGCCTAATTCACATATTTTTGATAAAATAATGTTCCCCGTGTTTACAAACATAAAGAACTTCAATTTTTAACTTCCGGAAAAGAGCACCATTATATAATTGCATGCATTTAACTTTTAAAGGCTTTTTTTTTTACAGATTACTCTTTATAACATGAAAAGGTTATGGATGTATATAAAGCCACACATCAGCCTTAGATATATAAATTTCATGCTACATAATACAAGCAAGCACATTCAAATGACCTTCATAGAGGATAATGACTTCTGATAGAGTAAACAAAAAAGGTATCAATACTTCTTAATCCCCACTCACGCTAATAAAAATTAAACAGCGTCAGAAATTATGAACCCTAAGTACCAGATGGAAAACAATACTTAGTACACATAATCAACATTCAACCACACAATGACACCACATTATTGACATGTAGATGGATTGATAATCAATAAAACACCTAAATCAATCATTTCAGTCAATAAGGTAAATCACTAACCCTTGCGTTCATCTGATGCATCATGGTACTCTTCATCCTCTTCGACTGCCCTTACTTCATCTGCCTCAGCCACAGCAACCATTTCATCATCTCCATCATTTCCCTCCTTTTCATCAGGATAACGCACAACCACTACAGGACAGACACAGTGGCGCACACAATAATCACTGACACTCCCAAGCCTACCATTGCTTCCTCTCTTAGATGCACCAAAGCCACGACTTCCCATGATTACAGCATTGAAACCCAACCTCTCTACCTCCAAACATAGTCTTTCCTTCATGTCATGGTCTTTCACAATGTGAATTTTGTATGGCACCTAAAACAGTAATGGAAATTAAACAACATCAGCACTAATGTCAATGCTTAAAAAAAATCTTAATCTAGATATATTAATACCAATAAAGTAAATTTAAACCAATATTGAGCAGAAAACATAGTAGTCTAATTTTGGATTTCCCTGAGAAATCACGAAAGTCAGTTGAAGGAATTATGTATTACTCAACAACCCCCTGATTTGAAAATTTATCTTCTCTTTCTTAGAAACCCAAAGTGACTGATCATTTCATACAACATAAACTACTACCAAGCAGAAAAAAAAGACAAAGATTCAATCATTTTCTAGGCGAACTCACTAGGAAATAGGCAAATGCAAGACCCCAGTGACCCTGTCACCATGAGTTGCATGAAAGACTTTTAAATTAGAAATAAAAAATTCTAACCAATGACTACAAGGGTCAAGTCAATACTTCTACAAGGTCAACAGACTCAATACACAACACCACCATAACATTTTCATGAGAAGATAGAATAATCAAAAAGTCCAATCCAACAAAGTAAACAAATGACATCCCCAGAATTGACAACTTCATCACCTTTCAACAATTGGTTTTTATTAAAGTTAATCGCACCCACCGGCCACCACATAATCTGCACTCATCCATAATTGCATAATCAATAAGTTAAGACCTGTTATATTTCCCAATCAAAGCCTTCAAAAATCCCACCAAACTCATCACTTAGGCTCAAATTTTGCAAATGTACAATCAAAAAAATTACCAGTGTCTGTGTGATAAATTCAATACAAACACGACAAAGATTACAGCTTAATCATCACAATTCAACAAGAGTCAAACTAATGCTGATCACCAAAATGGCAGTAGTCAGCAAATCCTTACAAATCCCAAGTCAAAAAACCCTCTAAAGTCACCTAGAACAATCAAAAACCGCGAAATTAACAGGTTTGGAGGATCGAATTGGACATCACTGTACATTTCTACAAAAACCCAGATTACTAAACCCCTAAAATTTCAACATACCAAATTAGGGATTAGAATATTGCAGAACCCCAAATACTTCACAAGTGCAAAAATAGAAACATTGGAGAAATGGGTCTTTTAAAATCAAACAATTTACAAAACCCCAGATACCAAAACCCCCAAACATCCAAGTTTAGGGCATTTATGCAAAATTAGAATTGGGTATTCACACAATCAAAAACCCCAAGAAAACCCTAATCAAAAAAATTACCAATTCTTCAACAAAATCAAAAATCAAACCTGAGCTTGAATAAGGGGTTGGGCAAGATCAGCAGCCTTAGAACTAGTAAAAGCGTCGAAATCATTTTCAAGCTTCTGATGCGACTCTTCATTATCGTTACCCTCAGCATTATCAGAAGCAGAAAAATCGACGCAACCCCAATCAGCACCATAAAGTACAGAAGTAGGACGAACATGAAGAAGAACAACAGCATCACCAGGACGAAGGTAATGGTCAACAGCCCATTTAACAGCGAAAGCACTTTCGTCGCTCAGATCCACAGCAATCGCAATCTTCCTCGCCGCACCAGCCGTCGGAGTCTCGGCAGCGGCGCCAGTTGCGGTGGCTGTTGGGGTTGAAACAGTCACTCTTGGCGAAGATGCTGTTGTTGATGCTGGTGGTTTTACACGAATTGGTGGCATTTCTGGGTATGATTGATTTTGTTGATCAGAAAATGGGTTTTTCTGATTACTTGCCATTTTTGATTTTTTGGGGGTTTTTTTCGATTGATTTCTAGGGATTAATTTGGGTTGAATTTTGGGGGTTTTGGTTTTCTATGTTGTTGTTTGTAAAAGGGAATGAATTTGTTATGGTATGGTCTTATTACCAGGAAACTAGTTTAGCTCCCGTACTAAGTACGGTTTAATAAAAAAACGCAAATTGATTAATAATTACAAATTTAAAACCATTCCTTCAAAAAAAAAATTAAAACCATCATAATTTTTAACAATTATTTGAAATACTTATTAAAATAAAACAATTGTATTACATTGAATATTAATCAGAATTATAAAACAAAAGAACCAATAACTACACACATTCAAAAAAAAAAAAAAAAAAAGAAGAGAAAATTTAAATATTGAAATAAGAAAGAGGCAACAAAACAACGCAATTGAGGAAGAAGAAAATCAATAAGGGTTTTCAATCAAGGTTATTAGGATCGGGGTCCTACCTTGGATCGATTGGGGGGGGGGGTGAGATCGAATCGATAGAATCGGATCGTAAGATCCTACTTAATAACGAATAATATTATATATTATGCTATAAATTGACTTAAAAACATTTCTTCTAAGGGGTTTTAATGCTAAAAGACATTGGTTTGCTTAAGAAAGGTCGATCTTCATTTAGGTTTGTCTTTATGGTAGTTAGAAGATTGATAACACAAGTTTAAATTAATAAATTATGCGCAAATTTGTCAAGAATGAGACCTTAATATGACAATTGCAAGTTGTCAATTGATAAAATCATATTAATGTCTCGGATTCGCTAATTTATTAGCGATAATTATTGAATAAATTAAATTTAGGTGCATATAACCTAATGAGTAATAAAAAAATATGTCAAAAAAATTAAAGTCTCATACTATCGTAAAATGTTGGATCGGATCGTAGGATCGTGTTGAGATCCGACCACTCATAACTAATATCGGAGTAGGATCGTAAGATCCTACAAACTTTAAGATCCTAACAAAGATCCGGATCGATCACGCAATTTTGTATCGTAGAATCGTAGGATCGTAAGATCCGGATCGGGATTTTAACAACTATGTTTTCAATAGTTGGGGAGAATGGGAATAGTTCTATTTTCAAGGCATAATAGATGGAAGGATTTAGCACCAAAGAAAAAAAAATTATTAAAATGATGTCATCAATACATATAGGCGGGAAATTTTTTTATGATAGCATGACATGTGTACAATTCAAGAAGGGAATGAGGTCAGTGGTTTCTATTTTAGTATTAGTTACAATTAATTGAAATACTTTTAAAAATAAAACAATTGTATTACATTGAATATTAATCAAAATTATAAAACAAAAGAATCAATAACTGCACACATTCAACAAAACAAAAAAAAAAAGGACAGAGAGAGAGAGAATTTAAATATTGAAATAAGAAAAAGGCAACAAAACAACGTAATTGAGGAAGAAGAAAAGCAATAAGGGTTTTCAATAATTGGGGGGAATCGGATTAGTTCTATTTTCAAGGCATAATAGATGGAAGGATTTAGCACAAAAGAAAAAAAAAATTTAAAATGATGTCATCAATACATTAAGGCGGGAAATTTTTTATGAGAGCATGACATGAGTACAATTTAAAAAGAGAATGATGTCAGCGGTTTCTATTTAGTATTAGTTATAAATAGATTGTTTAATTAATTTTTTTGTTTTTTTTTATGTACCTAATTTTAAGGCATAATGGCTTTTGGGCTAATTAATGTGAAGGAGTGCTGATTGGGTTAAGGTGAGTTGTAACTTGGAAGGGATAAAAGTTTGGTTGGGCTAAACCTAACTTTGTCTATATTTTGTCTTATACAGTAGTTTCAATTTTGATTTTGTTGTTTAGATATTAGAGGTAGTAAGAATTGACTCAGTAGTTGATTGGATTACTCAATAAAAATCAAATACAAGTATTAAAAAAAGACCTATTAAGCAAAGTTTGGCTCATTTGATAAGACTTTTACCTTAAATTCTAGAAGTATGTGATTCTAGAATTATCGTGAGGGTTTAAGGTCTAGTCAAGTCATTGTCATTACCTTAAATACAAAAAAGAAAAAATATACGGAGTACAAAACAACGAGGTTAGTTAGTGAGCTTGTTTCCTTATTTGATAAGTTTCTTTAATTTGCAAGTTGGATCAAGTAAAACCCGGTCAACTTGACCAATTCATCTATTAAGTGGGTAGAGTTATCTTAAAGGTTGAGATTTTTGAGAGGCATTGTCCAAAATAATTCTAGCTAATATATAGGGAACCCACACCTACATTTTCCATCTCTAATTCTCTATCTTAGAGTGATTCATAGAGGAAAAAGAGTACCACTAAGATATATTAGTGTTATATACCTAGGTGTATGGTACACCCAGAGTTATAACAGTCATTTTACTCGTTTTTGCTTGCATGCGACCTACACATGATATTTAAAGGTTTCATACTTTACTCGTCTTTCTATTCTTCTTCTTTAATCTCTCTCTATACCTTCTCTCTCTCTTCCTGTCTTCAATTTCCAGAATTTTTTTATCTACATTTTCGATTTTTTCAGTCGAATTTCGTTACTGTCTTCAAATTGCAGAGTTGTCTATCTACATTTTTCATTTTTTTCCTTCGAATTGCGTCTACTTGCTACAATGGAGGAATCTAGGTAATTTCCTCTTTTTTTTTTTCCAATTTTTGTTTGTGTTTTTGGTTACATAATTATCAATTTCATGTATACTTCGTATAAAATTTTTGTGCTCAATTTTTTCAGAATTTTTTGCTCATTTTATTTTGCTCAATTTTATACGGAGTATCAATTATACTTCGTATTAAATTTCATGTATTTTTTTTTTTCAATTTCTGTTTTATTTTCATTAATGTGTCCTTTATTTTCTTCAATATGTGTTTAAATTTCATTAATGTGTCATTAATTGCTCATTTTGCTCATATTTTTTTGGGTGTAATTATTTTCCTTTTATGTGTCATTAATTGCTCATTTTGCTCAATTTTTTGTGTAAATTCTATTTTATGTTTGCTCATTTTTCCTATGTTTGTTTATTTTACGATTTTTTTGCTCATTTATATTTTTGTTCATTTTTTTCTTGTATGATAGTGGAAGCAGTATTCTAGGTATTTATGGGCATCTGATGATACTTCAATCTTAATTCTAGAAGTCTGTGTTCTAAACCATATCCCCATCCACTGCTTTTCATGAATTTGTTAGATAAACTGACTACCAAAATGCTCAGGCCTCAATACTTGTTAATCTTTCGGTTGTTTATGTATGACAATGTAAGAGCAGCATTCTCATGTCCATTTGGTTGGTTTGATTCGTATTAGTTCGTGTTCACACTTTGAATTAGCGTCTCAAATAGTAAGAGTTCCTTAGAGATACAGGGTTATAGAAGCATGGATAGTTTGTTCAAACTTTGAACAAATTACTTTGTAGAGGACCAAAAGGCAATTGATCAAGTGACTTAAAATTATTACGAAGTATATGTTATGGAGTGTAATTCATTTATACATGTGCTAAATGCTGATGATATTTTGCCTATTTGTCGTGCATTTATTTGTGATGTGTATCATGTCATCCTTTTTGAGTTGGTATGCTTCTCTTGATGAGTCAAAGGATGTCACTTGAGCAGTTGAGTGGACTGATCACAATGACCTACATATCATATTACTTTTACGTATGTGGAAATAGATTCTTTCATAGTTACCTACATAGGCTACTATCTCTTATGTGCACTATCTCTACTTATTTGGTGTGTTAATAAAATTGTAAACCTATTAGCTCAATTGGTCGATCATTGTGTGTTCCTATATTGCACAGAGGTCAAATGATGTAGGTTCAAATCCTACATAAGCTACTAATTTCAAAACATTTATAATTCTACATTTGCTCACTGTACTGAGCATGCTTTAAAAAAAAAAAAGAAAAAGAAAAAAGGGTAGTTAAGAAGGCAAGAAGCTAAAAATTTGAACGTAGAGGAACATTTACAATTGCTAGTAGTTGATAAATGAACAAATAATTACTGCTCATTTGATAAATAAACAAATAAAATTAAACATCTCACATACTTAAAGCTTGGAGTAGTGATCTCAAATTTTTGTTTGTGTTCTATACTTTGATTCATATTCACCTTCATTGATAATCTCTAAGTTTTTTGTTTAGCTCATTTACTCAATACAAGCAAATGAGCAGTTTACAAACTAGTAAACGCGCCTCAGCAAACTCAGGTCCAACAACATGGCAAAAGCTGTGAGTTCAGCACTGCAGCACTTGGATTAACGCCAATTGTAGCAGTCCCTGGTCCATCAGCACTGGTAGTAGTTCCCATGCAGGAACCCTCACATACTGTGTTGTGTTGCTAACTATGCCAGACTACACATCAACATATCTTGCAATTACACGAGTAACAACAGCAACACACTTCGGGGCAAATACCCACCTTGAATACCTTCCATACTCCCCACAAGACATGAAAAACCCGTTGCAACCACTACATGGTTAGGTCTCTCATTATTGAATATAATGCCATGAAGCCCACATGAGTGCACAAAGGGACATCAACACCTTAGCATTACACTTGTGGGTAAGCCATAATCATTTGGTCCCAAAAGACTCATTTGGGGCATCTATCAAAGAATTGTTGCTCATTTGATAGATGAACAAAGAATTATTGCTCATTTGATAAATGAACACATAACTACTGCTCATTTGATAAATGAGCAAAGAAGTATAGCTCATTTGATAAATAAATGAAGTACATTACATTATGACATCTTTGGTGATGTTTTTTTGGTTAGAAAAGAGGCTTTTACCTAATGCATCTAATTATATATTAAACTTATGTGGAAATCGAACCTACTTCTTTGTGCATTTGCACAATGCTCTACCAATTGAGCTAGTAAGTTAGTGTTATGAGAAAAATTTGTAACTACACACTAACAATATTGACCGCGGATTCAAAGATGACTTAAGAAAGACAAACAAAACATCATAAAACATTATGCAATCATCATTAGTATTAGAATTTATTACTTAATCAAAAGTTAAACATATGACAAATTTCACTTAATCAAAAGATCAACATATGGCCAAAAAATCCATCATTTTTTTATCTTACTGGTCAAATACTCTCTCATTAATCGAGTCGAGAACGAAATCCCTCATAACAACCACATCCATGGTATGAAGCTCTGTCCAATAACTTCACACTTGTCAAACTCAATCCCTTCAATCATAAGAGTGGTGCTTGCTTCAAACAACAAGCTGTATCAGCTTTATATTTTATCAGTTTGTGCAATTAAAAGGAGTAGAGAAACCAACAGTTTTTACAACCTTGTCAAAGTGCTTGTTTAATGCTCATTTTGAAATGGTTTGATTATAACATTAGAACATCACCACTCGGTTCACGCCTCCTTGTCTTGTATTATCTAGCCCCAATTCCTTTTTTAAAAGCGTAGTCATTGTACATTTTGAATGCTTCTTCAACTATATTGAAACCAAGTAGCTCTGATTCTGCAGCTTCTTTGTATATGTTGTCCAATTAACATACATTGATCTTCTGCAGCATTAAGAATACATCTACTGTAATACCGTTTAGCTTGTACAACATGATTTTTATCATTAGCAAAATTAGCTCAAATGAGCAAAGCACGTTAAATTAAGCTCAAATACTAATGTCTCTAACCATTTGAATGGTATATATATATATGGGAGGTTCCGCTAAAAACAGTACTTATGGTGAAAACTAAAAACAAGCAATCTTAGCCATTGAATGTTCACTAGATAATCTGATGGTGTGAAACAACCCAGAGGTCACTATATACAAAAATAAGGTAATTATATCAAGTTAGATTAATTTTGATGACATTTACACCAAGGTCACTATATATAAAAATAAGGTAACTATATCAATTTTTACAATATTTACTTAAAGGTCACTATATACAAAAATAAGGTAATTATATCAATTTTGACCACATTTACATAAAGGTCACTATATGCAAAAATAAGATAACTATATCAATTTTGACCACATTTATATAGAGGCCACTATATATAAAAATAAGGTAATTATATCAATTTCGACAACATTGACCACATTTATATAGAAGTCACTATTTACAAATATAAGGTTACTATCATCCGATAACTTTTCCTTCTTCTCTTTATCATCAGATAACTTCTCCTGCTCCTGCTTGTCATCAGATAATTTTGTAATAGCCAAATTGTGATTCTTTCAAGAACCATAAGCTATCTGATTCCAACGACCTTCCTTTGAGGATCCATTATTTCAGCCTTCCGGCGATGAATAAATAAGCCTGACAATATAAACCATAAATGAAGAGCGAATGAAATAAGAGTAGCTATTATTGTGTAATTTAAACTTACAATGTACTCACTACTAAATCCAAATAAACAGAGCATATATTTCAAATGGAATATTTTATTCAAAATAATTTCCCTTTGTTTTTCAGTCATTCATGATTTAATAACCAATTACTTGCATAAAATAGTAAATGCTCTATGAAGAATTACCAAGTGTCCTACGCCCTTGAGGATCTTCATCATTAAAAGCTTGAACACTTATCTGTTAGATGCAACAGACTGAATAAGTTTAAAAATATCAATTCTGGAAAATGAGTAGGCTTTTTCTTCGGTATATGCTCTAATAATACACATTCAAGAACATACAGGAAAAGAAAATTGAAATCGTACTTTCCAAAATGAACCAGCATAAAATGCTTCTTGACCACCATTAAGTCGATGCACATCAGCAAATTTACCCTGTTGAAATTAACAAGAGAATAAAGAAGTATGAACAGTTGATTGAATAAAAGTTCAATAAATAACAAGTCGGTAATGTATACTCTTCATATGAAGTCATTGGACATGCCATACTAATATATGACCATGACTTAATACATCCCAAAAGATGAACCATGTATTGTTACATGATTTAACAATGACACGAGGGTAATAGTTCATTAAGTGACCTCAAAACCTTAGTTGTTTCTAAAAAACAGTGAGACATCCATGACAGGTAGCTTTCAAAGTATAGGAAGCTCTATACATAATAAATAAAGGTATCAAAGCAGCAGCTCAGCAGTCAAGAGAACAACAAAGAACATGTTTTGAGTGCAATTTCTCATTCCGTTAAGCAAAGACCATGAGGGGCAAATAGCTTAGGGTACGGCAGCACTTTTCCGTGTCCGAGTAACACATCTATGCTACTACAATATAAGACACGATATAATAGGATACAGAGAAAAAGAGACACTACTAGAAATAGACTGTTTTCCGAGGGAATCGTTCCGACGGACCTAAATTCCGTCGGAAAATCCGAACTTTTCGACGGAATAAGGGTTTGTCGGAACATTCCGTCGGAAAAGGTTCGTTACGACGGAAAATCCGTCGGAATTCTTGCGACGGAAGTTAATTCCCTCGGAATAATAGGCTTCCGACGGAATATTCCATCAGAAAGTTAGTTTTCCTACGGAATTTAAATCTGTCGGAATTTTCCTACGGAATATTCCCTCGGAAAACCCAAATATTCCGACGGATTTTTTATCCGTCGGAACGTTCTAATATATAAAAAAAACCGGAAATTTTTTAGCCTTTAATAATAAAAAAATAAATAAAATAAAACAAAACATAAAACCCGGAATTTCGTTGGGAACCCTAATCCTATTCTTTCCGCCTCTTTTCCCTATCTCTCTCCTCTCCTCTCATCTTCTCCCTTTCTCTCTCCTCCTTCCTCTTCTCTTCCTCTTCTTCTCTGATCTCCTCTCCTCTCCTCAATCTTTTCCCTTTCTCTCTCCTCTCTCCTCTTTTCTTCCTCTCTGATCTCCTCTTCTACAACAACAACAACAATCAACAAAAGGAGGTCGCACGTCACTGTCAACAACAAGCAACATCAACCGCAACAACCACCGTCGCCAGCCACGTATTTCAAGTTTTTTGTGTTTTGTAGATCTTTTAATATAGGTTTGAGTGTAGATGTAGTTAATTTTGAATGTAATTATAATTGTGTAATTATATAATTTTTTTGATTTTCGTTGTTTAATTTTCGGTTTTTTGAATTTTCGGTATTTTTTAAATAAATTGTGTTAATATAATTTTGTTTATTTGGGTTTTATTTCGGTTGTTTAATTTCTGATTTTCGTTGTTTAATTTTCGGATTAATTTGCTTGATTTTTTGCGTTTATTTGGGGATTTGTTTTTTTTTGGATTTTTTTGGGTTAATTTGGTTTTATTTGTGGGTGGTGGTGTGGTGGTGGTAGGGTGGGGTGGCGGTGGGGTTAGGGGTGGTGGGTGTATGGGGGGGTCTGTGTGGGGTGGAGGGTGTATGGGGGGGGGGGGTCTGTGTGGGGTGGGGGGGTGGTGGGTGGTGGTCCGTTCTGTGGGGTGGGTGGTGGTCCGGGTCTGTGGGGTGGGCTGGTGGAGGGGGTGGGTCTGGGTGGGGCTGGTGTGGGCTTTTTTTTTATTTTTTTATTGGCTTTTCCGACGGAAAATTCCGTCGGAATTACCACCTCCGTCGGAATATTCCGTCGGAAGGAGTTTAACTTCCTACGGAATATTCCGTCGGAAGATTCTCTTCTTCCTACGGAAAAGTTTCCGTCGTAAGCTTGCGACGGACTTACGATTTTAGTCAAACTAGGGTCCGACAAGATATAATCCGTCGGAAAAACTGCTCCAACGGAAATGGCCGATTTTCCTACAAAGGGTCTTCCGACAACACGTTCCGTCGGAAATGCCGTCGGAACAGTGTTTTCCGACGGAATTCAGGGTGTTTCCGACGGAATTTTTCCGTCGAAAATGGCCTGTTTTCTAGTAGTGAGAGGGGGTGGGGGGGGAGGGGAACCAACCCAAATCGAAATGGAGGGAAGTGACTTAGAGGTGTCTTCATATCTAAGGATATAGATGCATTGCTTGTGTTCTCACACTGGCCGTCAATATTTTGGTCTGAAGACTCTCCCATCTGAGTACCACTACCACTTGGCCCAGCAGCAGAGGTTTCAATAAAACTATTTCTTAGAGCTATATCAAAAGCACTCTCTGTCTGCCACCCTTGAACATTAATATTTCTTCCTCCGTCACTCAGTCCAACCAAGGCAGTTAGTCCATCTCCAGACATGTCACCATGTTGGTCAGGTCTCAATTCCAGATCATCATTAGCAAGAGATTGCTGACCATTCCTGTTGCCCACACCAAACGGAACACGGGAAAATACAAATCGAGTTGGACACCAAGTGGAAGCAGGAACCAGTGTAGCTAATTTATGTCTCCAAACTCTCACTAATTCACTCACAAATCCACTAAAAACACTTCAAATTACTCAAAATTCGATTTAACTACTCCAAACTCTCATTAATTCACTCACAAATCCACTAAAAACATTTCAAATTACTCAAAATTCGAATTAACTACTCCAAACTCTCCCGAATTCACTCACAAATCCACTAAAAACACTTCAAATTACTCAAAATTCGAATTAACTACTCCAAACTCTCACTAATTCACTCACAAATCCACTAAAAACACTTCAAATTACTCAAAATTCGAATTAACTACTCCAAACTCTCACTAATTCACTCACAAATCCACTAAAAACACTTCAAATTACTCAAAATTCGACTACATTAAACGTAATTCCTTTTTCCGATTCTACCTCTCATTCAATGAGAAAATCAATTCAAAGTTCCAGCAAATTCCAAAATATACAATAACATAACAACAACACAGATCAGACATGCACTGAAAATGTAATTTTTCAGATATCAAAAAACCAAAAAACATTAAAAATATCAGATCGAACTACAAAAATACCTTAGCCGCTTCTCCTGAAAGTCGAATCCACCAAAACTCGCCGCATTCCTCCTTCCGCCGCGTTTAGAGAGAGAACGAAGAAAGAGAAACACGCGGTAGAGAGAGAAAACAGAGAAGCTGGTTGAAGAGAGAGAAAGTACGAAAGAGAAGAGAGAGGAGAGAGAAAATAACCTGAAAATTAAAGAGGAGAGAGAAATTCAGAAATGTCTGAAAATAAGAAGAAAGAAATCTGAGCCATACAATTTGATGAACGGCTCAGATTAAACGTTTTCAGTTTTTACTTTGACACTTGTTTTTTACATGATCCTATTCCTATATATATATATATATATATATATATATATATATATAATTGTTTAAATGCAAAAAGATCAATTTAGTTCAAAATCACTTGTTGAAATATATTTGCTCATTTAAGTTTTCTTATATGGTTTTAATACTTTGTAATTGAAAATTAATTCTTCAATTAAATTTGCTCATTCGATATCTGCTTGCTCAACTAATCACCTCAGTTTACTAAATTATACCAGAATAGGTTATGAATATGCCAAATTAAATCTGCTCAATCATCAAAATTAAAATTTTAAGCAGAATTCAAGATCAATTTTTTATTATGCTCATTAATTACTTCAGTTTGTTCAATTACACTACAATTCAAATTTTCTCAATAATCAATGAATAGATTATGAATATGCTCATTTAAATTTTGCAAAATAATCAAGATCAATTTATGCTCATTTAAATTTACGTTGCTGAAATTGAACAAGTAAGTCAATTTAATAATTTCGTTTTTTAAAAAATTATTAACTAATGAATGTAAAAATCAATACCTGGTAGAATAGATTGTTGTTGAGATTGATGAACAATTGTCTAAATTGGATCATTATTGAGTAAAACCAATTCCGCCATTAATGCCAAGCTTGTTGAAGGTTTTTCGTTTCAATCTTCATAATATACAACTTTAATATCATGAATAATCTTTATAGAAAATAACTTTTTGAGCGAATTTTTGTAAAAATATTGAGTGAATTTTTGTAGAAATTATTAATTTTTGGGAGAAATAATGAACAGAGTGAAGAGAGAAAAATTATTTATCGTAGAAAAGGGAGATCGTTGAGCACACGTCAACAATGTGGAATAATTACTACGATATTACAAAAATATCCCCGGGTGTAACTAGAGGAAAGTACACCCGGGTGTACAGAAGAGCAGCTGATATCTTAGTAATGTATTATGTATATAACAAATTTCGAAAATTTTAAACCACATCATCCTAGAAAAAGCATCGAGATTAATAGAGTTGTCAATTAGATGTATCGAATTTATTAAGCTTTAAACAATGTATGTTACCTTGTGTGAGTGTTATTTAGCTGTATATTACTTATTTTTTTATTACGGGGTATGTAATAATGCAAAAGGTTTTTTTTTTTTTTTTTTTTTTTTTTTTTTTTTTTTTTTTTTTTTGAAAGAATGCAAAAATTAAATTAAGGCACTTTAATTATTATTATTTTTTTAAAAAAAAAGTGTATTTTGTTCCAAAATTCTTAAAGTCTTAGAAAAAATAGTGCTTTGGTTGGGACACTTAAAGTTAACTGGTGTTATTGCATTAATTTGTATTATTTTTTGTTCAATTTGAGAGCCTAATTTTTTTTTTTTTTTGAGTACTCCGTAATATTTTGCAAGATGGTTATGCGATCAGCGATAGCAGATCTCTTTTTGGTTTTTTTTTTTTTTTTTTTGTTTTTTGAAAGAGATAGCATATCTCTTATTTGAATGTATCTACTCTTAGTTTTAAAAAAATTAAATTGAAAAAAAAAAAAAGCAATCTTGCCTTTTACAATAAGTATATTTTCTTGACTAGCCGTCTCCTCTCTATTTTTTCTTTCTAGGGTTCTTCAAAAAAAAAGTGTTCATAGGCCGGAAATAGTCAAATTTCTTCGGAAATTTGGCTATTTCCGACCCCCTTTTTTTTTTTTTTTTTGACAGAGGCTATTTCCGCCCCTTTCCCTTTAGTTTCTTTATGTTTTTGTTATTAAGTTCAATAAATCTACACTCTTTGAAGATAGTAAGTATCCCTATAGTGGGTTTGAGTGTAAAAAGTGTCCCTATGGTGGGCTTTGTTCTAGTTTTGTTTTTGTTTTTTAAGTTTAGTATAGTACAAGTTGTTTCATGGGTAAAGATTTCTGCGGAATCGAAAAAGAGGTTAATCCTTCGATTACAATCAGATGAATCAGACGAAAATTTTCCTCACAACTACAACAAATCGATAGACCCCCTCGTCGAAAAAGGCTGTAAATCACAGCGATATAAAAGAGGGTATGAAGAATGTATAATTTGCAATAACGATGCTAGCTCTGCTGAGAGGAAGCTTTTATTTGATTCAATTGTCATGTATTTATTACATTTAAATCTCTTTGTAGATATCGTATGACTTTTTATTTATAAATCAATCTTTATTAAAAAGAAAAAATAATAAGTATAATTTCTTGAAAAGTATTACTCAAACTACTCCCTCCGTTTTTAAATACTTGCTCCATTTCTCCATGCGCGGAGTTTTAGGAGAAATTGAAGAAAGTATTAAAATATGAAGGTAGTGGGGTAGGTGGAAGAATAAAAAATTATAAAACACAAAAGTAGTTGAGAGAATTGGAGGAAAAAGAATATAAAATTAATAAAATATGATTTATGTTGGGTTCAATAGTTGAGAGAAATGAATTAAATGTTGTAAAAACTTTCCAAATAAGGAAATAAAACAAATATTTAAAAAAGATCGAAAATAAAAAGTGAAACAAGTATTTAAAAACGGAGGGAGTAGTAATCTAGATACAAAATACAACTAATACAAGTATACCTGTATACGTTGTGTTAAGGAATATCCTTAAATGTACCTAAAAAAAAAAAAATTGATGGGCTCACAGCTGCTGAGAGTGAACTGAGTTTGTAATAGACCAAATAGGGTCCAAGTAAGAAAGGTCGTGTTTACTACTCAACCAAGTTTCTTTCTTAAAGTTATGTCCATTTCTTTTTCCTTTAAAAAAAAAATGAATGTAAAAGTACATTGCAAATTAAATCAAAGTATAATTTCCTTTTCACAAAGCTATGATAATCTTTGCATATTAAACATACAATCTTCATATCATTATAGTTTGTAACCCTTTCTAATGAAGGGGTCTATCAATATGTTATATTTGTAAAGAAGATTTTAATGCAATTCATCTAATTTTGGTCGATAATTTGACATTGTTTTTTTTTATTCTATATAAATCTTCACTAAAGAAAAGTTTGGACTATACTAAACTCAAACAACTCAACTAGGATTAATCTCACCACAAGGGAACTCATTAAGCACTCACAAATTTATATCCAAATTAAGTACAATAACATAACCTATGAAAGCCTTTAAGGAACCAAATGGCCCCTTGAAATGTTCTTTTACGTCCATATGCATTCTTAACATATGTGTCAATTTCAAATCCAAATTCCTAGCTAGTTGATGCCTTGATGGTCTGTTAGAGGACTAACTCAACCAAAAGTGTTACAAACGAAACTTGCAGGAACAAAAATAATAAGAACAATGTTACCGGGAATAAGACTGAGTCGCGGACTATGTCGCTTTCTTTAGAACATTCACGATATTGCCTTTAAATTGTGCAAGCAGATCGAACTATAACCGGATGTCCCCCAGGATAAACAAGTCTCTCAAAAGTATAACGTACCGATGGATTTGCACAGAACCACCGGGCAACCAAACACCAAAAAATGCCAGAAAATTACTGCTCGAATTATCTTTAGAAGAGGAAAAAGAATATTATTTGTATTTTTTTTTTGGGTGTGTATGAAAACCGTGAACAAGGAGATCTTTTATAGCAAAAAATGGCAGCATAACGGTACCAATTAAATCAATTAAACCAACAATTAAATCCGTTCAAGACCAACAATTACCAAAACCGAAAATTAAAATAAGATTTAATTTACAAAACGGTAAGTAATAAAATCTGGAATCAATTGGTAAATGGTAATCAGTTAGCACAAAATCTGGAATAATAGCATATTAACCGGTTTTAAATGGTAGGAAATCAGTTACCAAAATCAAGGCATTAATTACTCAATTAAACCTCGTTCAAAATCTGTATAAAAAATTAAGATTGTTTAATAAAACCTAACCCGACCCGACCCAGTCCAGCCCGGCTCGGTTCGGTTCCGCGCGCACGTGTGTGTAGGTAAGTCTTCCCTCTCCACAAAATGTGGGTAGCCCTTGGGACACACCCAAGTATACTACACACTTCTATATAAAGGGAACAAGACTCTCATTTCCCACCAATGTGTGACTTTGTGATTTTTCACAAAATTCACACCCAAAACACACTTTGTTCCAACAATCCCTCACTTGAATTTTTGAAAACATTTTCGAGCGGAATCCTTACACATATAGGTTGTGCATAAACAGAAGTATTTTTCAACTTGAACTTGTGCGTAGTAAATACGATTCAGATTTAACAAGGGTAACTCGAAGTTTTGAACCCTATCTCTGACAACGTACCACACACGACTTATTCTTGGTGTTGTTATAGACCCGTGCTATAACGGCCATGCACGTCTATCCCAGTATGGTGAACGCTCTAGAAATGCTGCCACAAATTTCATAGGAAGCGGCCTAACTTCCACATTCACATAGGTGAAACTATCAAGAGTACTCCTGTAGCTAGGTACTCCACTCCAAAATGGAGTATAGATTTCATTAAGAGTTCCTATTAACTCATCCTTGATCGCTTCAGGAATTATGTCTTTTGAACATAATCAACTCATATCACTCCATAACTTGTTATTACCCATTGAACCTATTTCTTGGGATTTCCAGTCCATAGGTTGAGTTACCATTATGTGTGACTCATTTTAATGGCAATAGTCCCATTCTCTTAGAAGAATAATGGACTTTCTCTCTAGCCAATCCTTTCGTCAAAGGATCAGCCAAATTATTCTCAGTACGTATATGATCCACTCTAACAGCTTCGATTGAAAGATATTCTCTTACAGTGTTGTGCTTACGACGTATTTGTCGTCTCTTACCGCTGTAGTAACAGTTCTGAACTTTTGCCATAGCCGCGGTACTATCGCAATGGATCAAGACAGCCGGTAATGGTTTTTCCCACAAGGGAATCTCACCTAGCAGGTCTCTTAACCAACCTGCTTCTTCACTAGCTGTAGCTAGTGCTATCATCTCTGACTCCATGGTGGACTGAGCCAAAATAGTCTGTTTCTTAGACTTCCAGGATACAGCTCCACCGGCTATAGTAAAAATATATCCACTAGTAGCCTTAGAATCATTTGATAAGGTGTTCCAATCAGCATCACTATAGCCTTCTAGAACAGCTGGAAACCTTTCATAATGTAACCCTAGGTTCATGGTCCTCTTAAGGTATCTCATGACCCTTTCAATAGCATGCCAATGCTCATTACCAGGACAACTAGTAAACCTGCCTAATAATCCCACGACATAGGCAATGTCGGGTTTAGTACAATCAGTGGCATACCGAAGGCTGCCAATGACGCTCGCATAATCAGAATGCCTTACGGCATCACTAGTGTTCTTAAATAATTTTACACTGGGATCATAAGGTGTACTAGCAGGTTTACAGTCAAAGTAACCATATTTCTTTAGGATTTTCTCAATGTAATGAGATTGATCCAAAGAAACTCCATTTTCTGTCCTAGTAATCTTGATTCCAAGGATTACATTTGCCTCTCCTAGATCTTTCATGTCAAACTCAGCATTCAACAACAGCTTTACATTATTCACAGCATGAATATTCGATCCAAAAATTAACAAGTCATCCACATACAGACAAATTATAGTGCAAATGTCATTCTCAAATTTTACATATATGCATTTGTCACTACCATTTATCTTAAAACCATATGAGATGACTAAGTTATCAAACTTTTCATGCCATTGTTTAGGTGCTTGTTTGAGACCATAAAGAGATTTATCTAGCTTACATACCAGATGCTCTTTTCCTGGGATGACAAAGCCCTTCGGTTGGTCCATGTAGATTTCTTCTTCCAATTCACCGTTCAAGAATGCAGTCTTTACATCCATCTGATGCACTACAAGATTATAAACAAAAGCAAGAGACATTAGTACTCTAATAGATGTTACTCTAGTTACAGGTGAATAGGTATCAAAGAAATCAACATTCTCCCTTTGTCTGTAGCCTTTAGCTACCAAACGAGCTTTATACTTATCAACGGTGCCATCAACTTTCAGCTTTCTTTTTAGGACCCATTTGCAGCCAATTGTCTTGCAACCTGGTGGCAACTCAGTTAAGTGCCAAGTTCGATTAGACTCAAGTGATCCATTTCGTCATTTACAGCTTCTTGCCATAAGTCTGCATCAACTGAG